TTGTCCGAAAACCGTTTACTGACGATCTCGCAAACACAAAGCGGTTTCGCGCCCACGCAGCGTCTCCTCGGGAGTATCTTTTACGTCGAACGGCAAAAGAGACCCGGGGTAATCCCAGTCGGAGCGTTAGCATCAAGGATGAGACGGAGTCGTCTCGTGTTACGTCTCTCCTCGTCCCTCCGCCCCGCCACGGATCGTAAGAAAAGACGAGGGCGAGCGAACGTTGAGGAAAAGTGGTGAGGAATTTCTCGTCGGACAGGAGAGAAATTCTCACGTGGCTTGTAGGTCGCGGCGCCGGCTCCTTACGGGGCCATAAGGCGCGCCGTGTACGCGCCGCGGTCTCCTTAAAGATTTTTACACGCTCTTCAACACAATCCGCACGCGGACAGACGCGCCCGCGAGTCGCCCATTTATATCCGCTCTCCTCGTCGCCGCTTTCACGGACCTCGGGGAAAATCCGTTAGATTATCTCGTCTCCATCGGGCGTTTGAGACCTACGAGCGCTATAAAAACTGGTAACGTTAAATCGGAATCTTACTTGGCGAGTTACACGTCCCGAAATTCAATTGCACCGGGTCGTAGAATGATGACAGCAATTGATAAAAGTTGTACATTTTGTGTTACGCAGAGAATTTCAAATTTTTTCATTTTCTTATAATTTATGATTATGCAAAAAATGTATTATATTGTATTTGCAATATTAAGTAGAATATAATATTGCAACATAATAAATACATGTTATAATAAAATAGCATGTTCAAAGAAACGTCTTTTTATAAAAAAATCTTTCAACGTTCAATATGCCGTCACCTAACTGTATCGATTTTAATCTTCTTTAACTGGGAGTTTTCAAGCGAGAACGTCTCGTACCTATCTAGCACAAAGGCAACCAATTATGTCTAGAACATCTTCTCGAAGAAGATTCGCCAGGCAGGCAATTATTGGTGTGTCTACCAAAAGAACAGCTCTCTTTCTCCTGCCAGGTACTTTCGTGCACTTCATTGGCCAATGTTCGCCTTGATTCACGAAACAATAAGTTGTCTTTCAATAGAATGCATGCAGATAAAAAATATCATCTTGGAGATAAGCGAATCAATTATAAGAGGTAATAAGAGGTTTTTCAAAATTATATGGAACAAATTTACACACAAAGAAGTATAAATAATATTATAAAATGTTTAAATAAAAAAAAAAATAAAAATTTTATAGGGAAGGCACACATAGATCAATATTATATAGATATAATATTACATATGTATTAAGTATACGTGTTTACAGATGTCATAAATTATAATTTTTAGATAATTTCGTAGTTTCTTAATGCGTAATTAATGCATAATTAATCATAAATAAAATAATTTGTTAATAATGGAGAAGAATTGTTACAATAGCATATATGATGTCCATACAGCCACCGAGTCGAACCCCGTCACGCTAATCCGTACGATCTGCGGGTTAATCTCGTTTAGAAACTCACCTCGACATTTTATACGATCCTTCCAGCTAGCGAAGTATAACGAGATTACGATATCCAATTACTTCAGCAGCAGCGGCAGCAGGAGCTACAAAATTTCACGTCGTTCATCGTGGGCGTAAAAGGGGTGGACGGTATCCGTGAAATTGAAAAATTGCAAAGGCAACAATACGCTTCGCGCGAACAATGCAAAGCAAAAAAGTTATTCGACAGTGCATGACATGGTATCGACCGCGTAAAAAATTATTTAAATATAACTTCGTATTGCGTTAGAGAAAAAAAGAGCGTATAGTTTATAGAAACACCGCGTATGCGTACAATGAGAATTTAATAGTTATAAAAATGTTAAAATAAAAATAGAATGCCATACGTGATATCTTCATTTATGACATATAAATGAAATCTTGTTCAGATATTCTCAGTTATCATCAAATTTACAGAGGAATTAAATATTTCTGCATTATTAATATTTCAAATGTCATATTTGATTGGAGAGAAGCATCTTTATTACTTTATTTTTATTTATCAATATTTATCACAGAAAGAGAATATGAATTTTGGGTAAATACAAATTTTACGTAAGTTATTTATCGAGGCATATAGAGATATTTTGCACATTACATATTTCATTTAAATATCAATCACTTCAATGTATCATAAATAATATATTGCGAGATTTATTAATTTAATAAATTAATATTTATGCTACTTGTGCAGAAATAAAATAATTTTTCGTGATATTTTCAAATTTATATTTCTTAGAAAGTGTAATGTTTCTTTCCTTTCTTTTATTGTACTTGACATTTTTTATATATGACACGGGTAAAATTTATATGACTACTTTAATACTTGTGAAATTTTGTTTTTCTTCTACGATTGCATTATTTTACACCGACGGCTACTAATCTGTTGATGACAGCATAATAAGCGGTACATCGTCGAGCGTGTCGACTTCGCCCGTTATGGAAACCTGCATTTATGTCGGTGAGTTAGGTGAAGCAAGAAGCAAATTTATATCGCATCTCTTTGTGGATTCTAGACAGGCGGGATTTTTCTAAAAAGGGAACTAACGGATGTTAGAAAGAGGCTGGCATGTTATCGAGCGTTACGTGTACCAATGGCATTTTCTGAGTATGGCCAATACGCGCGATGTTGTCGCGAGCAATAAAGCGGAGATAAAATGAGGACGGGCGACGGTAATGCGCGTAAAGCCGGACTAAAATGGGAGCTTAATGAGAGAACTTCGCTTAGAAGTCGCGAGTAGGGTCAACGAGGCGTACAGGTCACCCGAAGTAAATTTAAGTTTAAAGCTGCGGAAGTTACGGCGCTTGATGAGGACATAAAGGTAAGGTGAGAGGTTGAAGGAGAAAGCGAAGGCTGCGAGGGGAGGGGGAGGGAGAGGGGGGGTAAGGGTCAAGTTAGGCAGAAGTTAGGGGTGGATTTCATGCGAGTTCGACGATGGCAGACCACATTTTTCTAAGTTAATTATCGGAATGAGGGCGACGGAAGGGTCGAGGAAGTTTGCCCCATCAACCGGCGCGCTCATGAAACTTTCGAATCAGTCCTCAGGTTTGTACGAAGTCTCATCTTTGCGAAACCATCTCGAGTATTTCCCATCGCTTCTCCTCTCCATTAGACCCTCTCCTTTGAAACGGAGAAACAAGGGAAGTTTTCCCTTTGTCGAATTATACGGGAACATCTCTTCTCTTAACACGACCATGGGGCTTCAGTGTTTTTTATTTCTCTCTTTGTCTCTTCGCGTCATACGGAAACTTCGTTTAAGCGCGATATATTGTGACAAGAAGAACAGTTTTTATCTATTGTGTTAATTGTCTCGCAGTTATCGTATTAATTGCATCGCAAAACTTGATTATAAAACTTGATTACAAAAACCCGAGGCAAATCGCGAGAAATATAAACCTGAATATAATGTCGTCTTCTATAAATCGTGAATATTAACATCATTCTCTTTATTTTTTACACAATGATATAGTCCACTCTTCGTTATATCAATTTTAATAAATGAAATTTTATATTTCCTGAAAAGATATTGAATATCTCGATCTAATCATTCGTGTCAACAAAATGTGTAATTATGATCTGATTCGACCTAATTTAACGCGGTGAAATCTTGATTTGTAGTTCAATAAAATTTTTATAGCAATTATTTTCATCGGGATTTTCACACAGTTTGTCGTCGTAATCATCCCTGATATACTTTATTTTGTCATAACGTTGTGATTGCGATTATACAATATCACTAGTTCAGTGCAATACGACCGTTTCGCGGATTTATGTTTCGGCTATACTTTATTTTTCACTGTAGTCCGTTAGTATCTCTCTGTTTTCGCTGTCTCTTATGTACGTATCTTTCTTCCTCTATCAATGCATACACTCGACGTACGTTTTATCATCGAAACGTAGTTCGATATACGTAGAAGTTCGAATTTCCCGGTAGAAAACATATCCGATAGACGTGACATTCTACAGATAAACTCGACGAGTGGGATTTTCACGAAGCGGATTTTGAGATTGCTTTGTATAGCATGCGTCGTCTTGATAGTTTTGCGTCTTCAGTGCGAGCTCGATGCTCCTCCAGAGAGAAAGGAAAACGCGATACAAACAGTCGTAACGGATCCGTTCCCTCTGTATGCCAAAATTTTACAGATAAACGCACCTTGCATCAAGACTGATAATTGTGTCTTTTCGATCTCTCTCTCTCTCTCTCTCTTGCCGTCATCATGGCCTGTATTCATATATGCGAGTAACTGATAAAGCATTTTCGGATTCAAACGGTATTTATGTACAAACATGTGATTTTTTTTTTAAATAGTATAAAGATTCTAGTTTTGATGCTAATTTTGATGCGATAATCGAATTATATGGTTTAATATAATGATTGAAATATTTTTTTATTAATCGCTAATACATTTCCCATTTTATAAAATTATTTTATGCATATATATATATTAAATTGAGAACAGTGAAAATATAGACCTCATTAAGGAATAAAAAAACCGTTATTATTAATTTTTAATCTATATCTATAAAAATTAATAGGTGGCTAATTAGAACAATAGATATTTATTCTCATTCCTATATGAATTATTTAAAGTCTGAAAATAAATAACATTCAAAAAACTAAAATGATTTAATTAAGATTAATTAAGATTAAATTCTTTTTTAAATTATTTTTCTAATGTGTTGTAAATGGTATATATTTTAATCGGAATGATGTTAAGTAGTTGATTAAATAATAAGAAATCACGAAAATGTATTTTGACAGTTGAAGCAATTAAAACTCTATATATATATATATATATATATATAATATTATTATTATTATACTACTACT